TCCCGCGTCCGCCGCCAGAGCGCCGAGCGCCCCGCGCCCGACACCTCGCCGCTCGACAGGCACACGACGTCACTTGTTAGGTCCGCGTAGATGCGCCCGCTGCTGCTGCTGCTGCCGCTGTCGTCGTCGTCGTCGTCGTCGGTGGTTGCGAATACGAGCGAGTAGCGCCGGAGCGCCACGGCGCGGGACTCGCTGCAGGCGTGGAGCATTGCCGGCGGCGGCGTGCTGCTGGTCCAGCCGCCGGCGAGGGTGCGGCGGCCGTCGTCGTTGTCGAAATCGTCATCGGCCCCACTCCTCGGGCCGCCGCCGCCGCCGCCGAGGCTCCCTCTCCTGCCCCCGCGCACCAAGCGCGGCAGGACGAACTTGAGCTCGTCGCGGAGGGTGCCTCCCGGGGCTCCCCAGGGCCCGCGCAGCATGACGGCCCTGGCGCCCGGCAGGGCCTCCTCCCAGATCTGCAGGCGGATCTCGGCGGGCAGGCGGGCGAACTGCGGGAACGCCCGCTCCTCGCGGTCGCGCCCGCGGCGGCCCAGGCGGTCGGCCAGCGAGTGGCGGGCGCGGCGGGCGTGGGCGCGGGCCTGCCGCTTGTCCTCGGCGTACCGCTCGGCCAGGTCGCCTAGGCGGTCGGCCCAGCCGTCGACGATGATGTCGCGCTGCAGCCGCAGCGAGGCCGCCACTGAGCGCGACCGGCTGCCGAGCGCGTCCAGTGCGGTCCGCATGAGAGCCGTGACGGGGCTGTCGGTGTCTGTGGTGTTGTTGTTGTTGTTGCTGGCCGCCATGGTGGTGACGGTGTTGCCGGTGGTGCTGCTACTGCTGGCGGGCGAGGGCTCCGTGGATATGGCCGTAACCGTAGCCGTAATCGTAGCCATGGCGAGGAGCCGGCAGTCGCTTGCCTCCCCGACTCAATGCCGGCCGTGGAGCCGAGGGATATGGTGCTTGGAAGCAGAGCACTCCTTGGCCAGGGCCCCCAAAACGGCAAGGAGCGACCAGCTGCGACCAATTACAGGCGTAGACGTGAAACTCAATCCGGACGGACGACTCGAGAAAAGGCAGTTGCAATGCAAAGGAGAAGGAGATAGAAGAGCGACTACAGTAGTAACAAGCCCGCACGACAGCCTTCCGGCAACAAGCCTACCAGGGCAGCATGGGAGTGTTTCCAAAACACAATCAGAAAAAGTCTTCAGCGGCATCGGCAAGGGCCCCCTTCGCATCGGATTCCTCATAGGTGTGGTGGTGGTGGGGGGGACAGCCGCCGATCTTATGGCTTATCCCAAGCCGCCGCTACACTGTCGAGCTCGCTCCCGTCCATGGCCAAAGTCCCAAGTCAAACACGCCCCAGGGGCTGCCTTCTATGGCCGTCTAGACCGCGATCTAGCGGACCCAAAACGGAAGTTGGGAGCGACTCGACGGATGAGGGGTCCTTTTTTTCATTTTTATTTTTTTTCAGGGTGCAGCTCTCGGCCGCGTTGCCACGAGGTGGTGGTGTGGCCGCGGTTGGTCGAGATGGCACAATGGCCCACGGCGATCAGCGGCTGAGGGGCAGAGGCGCGGGGATCAAGCGTGCGCTGAGGTGTGTGTGGTGGTGGTGGGCAGCAAAAGGGCCCAATAGAGTGCCCCAGTGGTCGTTTTGTCGTTCTTCCCGGTGGCAACTTTTTTCTCAAGCGCGGCCAGTCAGCACGCTAGGAAGCCCAAGCGATAACGGCAGCGCCAACAAGGCGCCGGCAAGAGACGGTTCGCGGCCTGGAACCGACCCGTCGGGGATTGTGGTGTGTTTTGCAGATGCGGTGAGAATGGTTTGCATTTGGTGTAGTGAGAGGGCGCATATACGGGGTGGATTGTGAGGGAATAAAACAGAGCTAGAGAGGAACTGTACAGGAGGCTAGAAAAGATCTATAGATGAAGCTAGAAGGATATATGAAACACAACAGGTGCCAACGTGCCCAACAGCTAGCCACTCCCCACCCCAAAAACGAAGCCATCGACACGCTACAGCCTGCTCTTGGCCCCTGCCGACAGGTACGACCCGCCTAGCCTCAACATCTCGACGGCCCCGGCTACCATCTCGTCCACAATCTCACCCGCCGGCTGGACCCTGTCGATGTTCCCGGCAACCTGCCCCATCAGGTGTGGCGGGTCGATGTCCTCGACGCCCTCCTCCATGTCGTGCTCGATGGGTACCACTCCCTTGTCGCACAACTCCTGGATCTTGTCCGGCCGCGCGTGCCACTTCCGGATGTAGTCGTTGGTCTTCATGCGCAGCGGCCGCCCGCTCAGCACGAGGGTGCGCTCGGTGCCGTCGAGCCCGCACGACACGACGGCCTCCTTGTGCTCGTCGCTCCCCGCCGCCTCGGCCGCCGCCACGAACCGCGTGCCGACCCAGACGCCCGCCGCCCCCTGCATCAGGCTGGCCGCCAGCCCGCGCCCGTCGCCGACCCCGCCGGCCGCCACCACCAGCGCCGTCTGCTTTCCTCCCAGGAACGCGGGCCGGTACCGCGCCGCCACGTCGGCCACGGCCGGGATCAGCACGCTGCTGGCGACGTCGCCCGTGTGCCCGCCCCCCTCCCCGCCCTGCGCGCACACCAGGTCGACGCCGAGGTCGAGCGCCTTGACGGCGTGCTTGGGGTGGCCGACCATGTTCATGACCAGGATCCCGGCCGCGTGCAGGCGCTCGATGACGGCGCGCGGCGGCACGCCCACGGCCGACACGAACAGCCTGGCGCCCGACTCGATGGTGATGTCGATGAGCTCGTCGAGCTTGCCGCCCGTGTAGTCGTGGTTGGTCTTGCGCGCGGAGCCGCCGACCTGGGGCAGGGCCAGGTCGACGCCGAAGGGCAGGTCGGGCGAGGCCAGGTTCGCCTTCAGCTCGGCCACGATCTCGCGCAGCTGGTCCGGCGTGTACATGAAGCCGCCGATGACGCCGAGACCGCCCGCGTTGGACACGGCCGCGGCCAGCTTGCCGCCCGACACGCGCGCCATGCCGGCCAGGATTATCGGGTGCTTTATCCCCAGGAGCTCCGTGAGGGGCGTTGAGATGGGACCGGCCATTTTTGTTTTGTTTTGTTTCGTCCTTTTGTTTGTTGTTATTAAGATCGTGCGTGTCTGTATCAAACAAGACGTCGAGGATGACGGCGAGTAAAAGGATCAAGCTAGATAACCCAGATATAAAAAAAATTGAAAAAAAAAAGAATAGAGAGAAGAATCAAGATCAAGGGCTTATATAAACGTAACTGCGGCTCACAATGCACAGGTCCTAGGGGTGGATCCTGGTGGTACATCAGTTTGGCTTGGTCATCTAAGGAAGAAAATGTATCTTGCATCTACAGCACTAGGGTTTGTGATCCCTGGGACCTGTATAAGTGGCTGCCAGGATTGGGCCACGGTCAACAGCGGATGGCTTGGATCCAGGGGTTGCAAGCGCGACAGGCACAAGTGCGGGGAAGAAGCCGAGGTACATCTGAGAATCCCACCGCAGCCCCGGGGAAGCGAGCTCGTTGCCTGTTTGAGCGACGTGCTTGACTGCTGCTTATCTTGTACCAAAATGCTATCTTGACGAGACCCAGGTTGCGAACATGCAAAGATAGACGACAGAAAAATATGTAAATATTGGTACACGCAATGCTAAAAAGAAAATGCAGGCCACCATAACTATATAATACCTGAACGGTGCGGTGCGTCTCTTGCTGCCTGGCCATGAGAGCAGCACAGCCAGCCCAAGCGTCTAGGTCTCGTATCACATCACAACGAATCCCATAATTTGGCATTCCCAACCCGCCAACGCCCTGTTATGCTTGCCGTAATCATCATCCCAGCCTCGTCCCATCTCGTCCTTTATCGAAAGTTGGGCAGCATGGCGGGGAAGAACTCTTGCTCCGCTGACCTGCCTGATGCTGCCGTGTCTAGACTTGCCGCTGGAGCAGCCGGCGCGACGGCCGCCACGTCCAAATTTGTCGCAGACTGGTCGGGCATCTCGACCTCCACCACACCCCCTACCATGTGCCCTAAGGAGCCATCATCGTCCCTAGGTAAAAACGGCGGCGGCTCCGGGATGTCGTCAAAGTGCACCTCGGGCGACCGGGGGCTCTGATGCGCCAATGGTGGCGCAGGCCCGCGGCGCCCCACTGGATATTCCTTGTCCTCCAAGTGCTGCCGCGCCTCTCCCATGACAGGCGCCGAGCCCGACGGTGAGCTGGGTCTCCTCATCACCGACGGCGACGCCACGGCCTGCGTCGACGACGCGGTTGTGGCCATGGACGTGATCGTGGTCCGCGATACGCTACGCGATATCATGGCAGGACTATAGCTACCGCCGCCGCCGCCTCGCGAGTTGGTGCCCATCGAGTCGGCCCGCCTCTTGCCCTTCCTGACGCTCCGCGTCCTGCCGGCACCGCCACCGATACTGCTGCTCCGGTCGTCCGTCGTGACGCGGTCCAACGCCACCGCGAACTCGTCATCCAGCGGCACGGCATCCTCCTCTCCTTCCCCGTCGCTCGGGAAGAGGTCGCCCCGGGACCGGTACGAGTCCGACGTAGCACCAGATCCCGTCGTGCTGCTCCGTTTCCTAGTCTTTGGGTTATATATCCCCTCGCCGCCGGGCCCTCGTTGTCGGTGGCCGTGCCGGTCGTAGTACTCGTCGTCGTCGTCCGTTTCCTTGCCCAATCGGGACCGCTGGAATATTACCTCGCCGTCCCTGCCACCACCGTGATACTCGGCCCCCGCGTCCTCGTCGTCGTCACCGCCGCCTAGCAGTGGTTGCCGCTCGCCCGCGCTGCCGTGGTGGTGGTGGGGGTGGACGGCCCCCGGATGGTCCTGCAGATTAGCCGCGCTAGGCTTATACCGCAGGGTGCCCCCGATCTTGAAAGGTAGGCGGCCCAGGAAGCCAAAGGTGGACGTGCTGGGAATGACGGTTGGGTCCTCGTGGACGCTCGTCTTGCGCCTGGTGCCATAGTTCATGGTGCCCTTGCGCCGCGGCTGCTCCACCACGTCACCACCAGCCCCCGCCGCGCCAGCGCCTCCGTGCCGGCTCCGCGACGAGGCACCCGTGCCCGCCAGCAGGCGGTCCCAGTCGGTGCCCAGGATCCCTCCGCCGCCGCCGCCGCCGCCACCACCACCACCACCGCTGCCGCTCCCGCCGCCGCCGCCTCCATCGCCGTTGTAGCCGTAGTACCCGTAGCCAGCGAGCGCGTCGTCGTCGTCGTCCCAGTCGTCGTAAAAGTCGAAGTTGTACTCAGCTCTTGTGCGCCGGGCTCCCCACTCGCGCTCGCGGGCGCGCCGGGCACGCTCCTCACGGTCGCCGCCCAGGCAAACGCCCGTGCAGGCGTCGAGCGAGCTGCAGACGTTGGCCAGGCACGGGGCGATGTAGCGGTGCTGGAATTTCCAGATGCCCGCCGCCGCGTTCTCGGCCACGCCCTCGGCATCGTGCGAGATCTGGTTCCACCGCTGGCGCAGCCGCGGGTCTTCGAGGAACGACATTTGCGCCGCTCTCTTGCTGTTGTTATTTCCCCAACTTGCCTTTTGAACTTCCTCCTTTTCTTGCTATTCTTCAGATCTCGCCTCCTATGGTCCAACCATCCATGCAAACCGCCCTTTCCTCCGATATCTTGATCAGGTCGACGCGAGTGGCGTGCTGCCCAACGTCACTGGCGTCTTCAGGGCGATGATTATACGCGACCAAGCAAAACGAAAACTCCGTGGGCGAAAAAAAAAGTATGTTGACAAGAATTGGAACGGCAGGAGCCCCAAAAAAGGAGCCGTTTGGCGACACTGAACGCTACCTGCGCGATGGTCGGTGCGGGCAGCAGCCCCGAGGAGACAGAAAGATGGGCTCGGGCCGCGGATTCGTCCTAGGACCCGAGGCAAGGGACCAGACGCATGGAAGGTATAGCGTGGTTCGGCAGGGCCCTTCTCTTTCAGTTTGGCATCGGGGGCAACGGTTCCGTGTCGCGGGACGTGGGCTGCACCGTACGGGCAGCGGTGGCTGGGGTCGAGGGCGCGGGCGGGTGCGGGAGAGCCCGCGAGAACGAGCTGCGGGTTGTTCGAAGCCTCAATCACGACGGGGACGGGAGGAGCGCGCAGGGGTGACGATGGCGGGAGAGGTCGACGGGGATGGAACTACGTTTTAGCGGATTGCTCGATCTTCGACATGCGTTGGGTGCGCGTTGGCAGCGCAACGACTCATTTGCGGAAAGGCTGCTCCCGTGGCTAGGCTGGGCGCCTGGGCTGGGCAACTGGGCTGCGTCGTGTCGTCGATGGGTCGATCAGTGGTCGCGGACGTGGAGTCTGCAGCAAGCAGGTGCAAGGGAACAACTTGGACCAGAACAATTTCAGATGCGCTGGATGGCACTGACAGGGTCGGGAGCCCAGCCTGCAGCGCACTGGAGGTTCTCCACTGACGCAACTACAAGCACCAGCGGCGGGCGAATGGACCCCAACACCCCTAAAAACTAGCGGACGCAGCCAAGAGCCACCCGCCCAATCAGCGCCCGGTCTGCCTCGGGCGAGGCCAATGACCTCATTGCAGCTCACGGCAACGGCACGCAACTCCGTCAGCCTGCGTCAACTGCTGCCGTTAATACTGTTCTAGCCTCAGCCCCTAGTGCCCGTAGTGCTGCCCCCCCAGCCCAGCCCAGCGAGCGAGGCCGAGGCGCCGTGGAGCCGCAGGTAGAGGAACCGCACACAAAACCCATCTCATGTCATGAGAAGAGGGGCGATTCGCTGTTATTCAAAACTGTGGGCCTAGTTGCGCGGCGGCTGTTTCCAAAAGCCTACCTCTAGGTACCTCTAGGTCCTGCCAACTCTGTGCGTACGTCTTGGTGGTATGAAGATGTTGGTATAATGCATATACGGTGCGCTCAGACTCATCTCTGCTTCCTCGGCCAAGGACCGCCGTCTCCGGGCCCGACTCCAGACGCCGCCTAGAGCCCTAGAGTCGGGCGGAAAGGTAGTGCTACAGGCCAGGTTGGTTAGATGCGACACAGGGGGACGGCCGTGCGACAAACGTCAGACCTCCTCCCTCGCCTCTTGCCCTTCCCAAAACTAGTGGCAGACCAGGGATTTGGCAGAGGCGGCACAGGAAACGGCGCCGCACGCCAGCTTCTCCAGTCTACAGACGAGCGGGCATAACTAGCACCCGTTGGCAGAGACGGCCGGAGCCGGCGGCGGCCGTTCAGGCCCGTACTTTTGAGGCTGTTCCGGATGCGCCTCCTCCTCCGTGAGGTCCTCGTCCTCGTAGTCCCCCTCCCCGCCCTCGTCACTAATCTCCTCATACTCCTCTTCGTCGTACTCGCTCTCCTCCCCCTCCCCCTCGCCCTCCTCCCCTTCGGGGAAGCATTGTTCCCCGCCGCCTGCCGCCAATCCCGTAGCCGCGATGCCCCGTCCTTGCTGTTGCATTTGCGTGATTATACTCGTGAGCTTCTCCGACTTCTTCCTAAGCTCATCCAGCTCCTTGAGGTTCTTGGTGCGATCCTCAGCCATCTTGAAGATGTTCTGGTTCATGAGCTCGTGCTTCCGCTTGAGCCCGTCGTTCTCCTTCTCCAGCTTCTTGGACTTTTTGGACATTTCCTCCATTTCCTTGCGGAACGTGAGAAACAAGTCATTGCTATTGTTCAGAGTGTCTTCGACCTAGCCGTTGCTCTTCTATCAACTCTGCTCCTGTCGCCGCGTCGTCGTCGACGCCAAGGGGGAAGAGTCGTCAGGAGCGCTAACCTGTTTGAACTTATCAACGTAGACGTTGAGCTGGGTACGCAGCTCTCCCTCGGTCTTGGAGAAGGTCTGAATTTGCTGGTTGAGTTGCCGCGACCGCGTGATCTCTGACTCGGCCCGCTTCTTCTCCCCCTCAAACCGCGCAAGGTTGAACTGAACCTCCAGCTCCTTGGTGCGCATGAGCGAGTGGAAATGCAGGTCGCGAAGCTCGTACTGGTCGATCATTGACTTGAATCGCATACGGAACCTAAAAGGGGACACGTGAGCCAAGCCATTCCTCATACTGCCTTGGTTGGTGACATGGCAAAACGCTGGCGCATAGACTCACAGCTCCTCGAGTTCCATGTCCACCATCTGCTTCTTTGGGTTGTCCTTGTCGCTCTGGTAGTCGTCCAGCTTCTGGAGCAGCGTCGAGAACTTTTCATCCCAAGAGTTCTGGTTGCGCACTTGGTTGTCTGAAAGCGTCTTGTTCTCGCTCTATCGTTCCGACGGGCCCCAGTTAGCGCACCGCCAACCACGCAACCCTTGCGACAGCAGGCCAGACCAGGCGAGGGGGGAAACAAAGGACTGAGTGCAACCTTCAGCTTGTTGTTCTCCTTCTGCAGCTCGCGACACAGCTTCTCTAGCTTTTCCTTCAGACCGATGGTCTTGGTGAGTTCCGTGCGGCTCTGGTCCTTTTCCTTCTGTAGCTGGTCGCCCCGTTTCTTCTGCTTGATGCTCTCCCGCTCGTGGCGTTTCATATCAGCCAGGAGATCGGAGCATCGCTTTTGCAGATGGTCGATTTTCTGAAGGTTGTCCATCTTGGCCGTCTGCGAGTTGAGTTCACGGTTTGCCTTGCGAACCTCGCGCTCTGCACAAACGGGGGCGTTTGCGTACTCCCAAATTAGCACATGGCCGTCCTACCCGGCAGGCTGTCTCGTCGCCAGCTCCGAAAGTACGAGGGAAAAAGCAAATATCTGGTGTCACAATCGTACCGATCTCGATCTCCTGGTCCTTCTCCCCAGCGGCATCAAGCTCGAGCTGGGAGATGCGGGCGGCGACCAGCTTGGAGGCTTCATTCGAGTCAAGCGCCTTCTTCTTGGACTTCTTGCTCATCTGGGCGGCGGCGGCGGCGGCGGAGGCGGGGGCGTCGCCCTTGGGCGGGAGGGCTGTGCCGTTGGCCATTGCTGCCGGGCGCGGGGGTGCGGGCGTCTGGGTCGACGCGGAGTTGACGGCCGACATGGCGCTGGCCATACACACGGCAGTCTGAGTCGGCGGGTCGCGGCGGCTGCGGGCCTGCAAAAGATATTTGCGAGGCAGAGATTGCCGGGCACACACGCAGGCGGCTGCTGGCTCCAAAGCTGTCGGCTGGTCGATGGTAAAAGATGCGATCGGACTGGGCAATGGCCGGCCGAGAGGGGCCCAGCCAATTTCCTGGTGCCTTCTTTACAGGCAAGGCGCGGCGGTGGCAAGCTTTGCTACCCGACTTTGGCGGATTGCAAGGACAGCAGGACGTTTCGTGATAGGCAGAAAGACCTCAAATTCGAATGCGCGGCTCAGGTGCGAGCGGGAGGTGTTGAATTTGGCTGTCGCATGTCCTCATTGAGCAGCCTTGGTGGGTCGCCCGCTGTTGGTGCCACCCGATGAGCCACAGCCTGCAAAAAGCTGAGCACCAGAGGTCCGGTACCTTTGCTCCGCCCGCCACCACCCACTGCGGGCAGGTACCGCCTGGCGAGCCCTCGCATCCACACAGGTCACAGGCATCACAATTGTTAGTGCGGGGAGCCTTTCAGTCCGTTTTTTGTTGCAACAAGATACATTTTGCTACAGCAAAATTGTCCTGTGATAAATGCACTGTCCTTATTGCTCTCCTTCTTTCTTATTTTTTTTTTATTTGCTGTTTTTCTTGCCGTTCCTCTCCTTACCTCTCAAGGGGATGTCCCACCGCAGTACCAATTCTGATCCCTGGTACCTGTTCAGCTTGTGCAGCTTCCAAGACCCGATCCCTGCAAGAAACACCTGAAAATCGAAACCCACGAGGCGATCGGTCCGGTCGTTCTAGCCCTTTGGTCTTCATTCGGCCCTGGCGGATCTCGCGTGCCGTTGACGTAGGTATTTTTTTTTTTTTTTCATTCTTCTTGTCCTGGCTGAAGAGATTTCTCGTCTAGACCTCTCGCAGGCGGGGCTCTTCACACCTACTCCACCGACCTTCCCACTACCTCACCGTTGCTCGACCATCAGGTCCTTCTTCCCCGTCTTCATTTCATCCATCGTCGAAGCGACCTTTTTTCCATCATGATGCTACGGCGCGCCACCCATGGCGCACGCGGCGCGGGCCGCAGGTCCTTTGCCAGTGTCTCTCACCAGTACCCCAGCCCTGGCGAGAGGTTACACGGCTTCACCATGAAGCGCGTCAAGCAGGTCCCAGAACTCAAGCTCACGGCACTGCAGCTCCAGCACGACAAGACAGGCGCCGAACACCTCCACATCGCCAGGGACGACAGCAACAATGTCTTCTCCATCGGCTTCAAGACGAACCCGCCCAACGACACGGGCATCCCCCACATTCTCGAGCACACCACTCTGTGCGGAAGTAAAAAGTCAGTCTGCCTGCTCAGGCCATGGACCAAAGACCAACTCCCGCTGACGCGACGCCACGGCTGAAGCTATCCCATACGGGACCCTTTCTTCAAGATGCTCCCGCGAACACTTTCCAACTTTATGAACGCCTTCACGGCATCCGACCACACCTTCTATCCGTTCGCGACTACAAACCAGCAGGACTTCAAGAACCTGATGTCCGTTTACCTGGACGCCACTCTCAGGCCGCTTTTGAAAGAGACGGACTTCTGGCAGGAGGGCTGGAGAGTTGGCCCCGAAAACCCCGAGGCCCTGGCCCAGGCCGGCGAGGCGGCCAAACCCGAGGATGGCCGCTTAGTCTTCAAGGGTGTGGTGTACAACGAGATGAAGGGCCAGATGTCGGATGCGTCGTACCTGTACTACATCCGGTTCCAGGACCACATCTTCCCGGACATCCACAACTCGGGCGGTGATCCCCAGAAAATCACCGACCTAACATACGGGCAGCTTAAGCGGTTCCACGCCGACCACTACCACCCCAGCAACGCCAAGCTGTTCACATACGGCAACATGCCGCTCGCCGACCATCTTCAGGAGATCGACGCCCAGCTCAGCGCCTTCGAGAAGAGCCTTGCGGACGGGGTCTCCAAGGTCCACCGCCCAATCGATCTCAGCAATGGCCCTCGTGATGTCACCATGTCAGGTCCGGTCGACCCACTCGTGGACCCCGATAGACAGTTCAAGACATCGGTTTCGTGGGTCCTTGGGGACACTGCCGATGTTGTCGAGTCCTTCTCACTATCGCTGATCTCGGGCCTATTGATGGACGGATACGGCTCGCCGTTGTACAAGGGTCTGATCGAGTCCGGGTTGGGCATCGACTGGAGCCCAAACACCGGATACGACAGCTCTGCCAGGTCAGGCATCTTTTCCATCGGTCTGACCGGGGTGAAGGAAGAGGACGTGCCCAGGCTCAAGTCCGAGGTGCAAAAGATCTTGCGGGAGACGCGTGAGCAAGGCTTCAAGAGGTCCAAGATTGATGGCTATCTTCACCAACTTGAACTCTCCCTAAAGCACAAGACGGCAAATTTTGGCATGTCGCTTCTGCAGAGGTTAAAGCCAAAGTGGTTCAACGGCATTGACATCTTCGACTCGCTCGCGTGGAACGACACGATTAACGAGTTTGAGAAGCGCATGGCCGGGGGAGGTTATCTTGAGGCACTCCTGGACAAATACCTCCTCAACGACAACACGCTGACGTTCACCATGACCCCCTCGGCCGATTTCGGTGCTGAGCTGGTGAAAGAGGAGGAGGCCAGACTTGCGGCTGAGATCGCACGAATCTCGGAGGTGATGGGTAGCGAGGCGGCCGGGCAGAAGACGCTAACAGAAAGGGAGTTGCACCTGCTCGCAGAGCAGGGTAAATCTGTCAGTGAAGACCTGAGCTGTTTGCCCACTGTTCACGTCCAAGACATCCCAAGAGAAAAAGAGCGGGTTGTGCTCAGGCATGAGCAGACCGGCGGTGTCAAGACCCAGTGGTACGAAGCCCCTACCAACGGGTTGACATATTTCCGAGCCGTAAATACCTTGGCGCATCTTCCCGAAGAGCTTAGGGCGTTCATCCCACTCTTCACAGATGCCATCATGCGCCTAGGCACCAAGACCCTGTCGATGGAGGAGCTGGAGGACCGCATCAAGCTCCGCACCGGTGGCGTCTCAGTTGGTTACCACTCCTCAACACTCCCTGGAGATTTCAGGCAGTCAAGCGAGGGCCTCATCTTCACCGGCATGGCCCTGGACCGAAATGTCCAAGACATGTTTGAGCTTCTGCGGCTGCTTGTTCTGGAAACGAACTTCGACAGCCCCGAGGCCGTCTCGCACATTCGCCAGCTGCTGCAGGCCTCGGCGGACGGCGTTGTTAACAACATCGCATCGTCGGGGCATGCCTACGCCAGGAGGGCGGCAGAGGCCGGTCTGAGCACTGGCGGGTATCTGAATGAGCAGATCAGCGGGCTGTCGCAGGTCAAGTTGATCACGTCACTGGCCAGCAGGCCCGAGTCGGACCAGCTAGCTGACGTGATTGCCAAGCTCAAGGCCATCCAGAAGCTTGCGTTCAGCGGGGGTGGCATGCGCGCTGCGATTACCTGCGGCACAGAGAGCGTAGGGGGAAACCAAGCGGCCCTGGCCAAGTTTGTGGGCGCTCTCCCCGAAAGCAGTGGCGGTATGGCCGGGTCGGCGGACAAGAACACCATGAGCGCCTTCCCCAGAAACGCCAAAGCCTTCTACCCCCTTCCGTACCAGGTGTACTATGGTGCACTTGCTCTCCCCACCGTCTCGTACACTTCGCCAGACGGCGCGCCACTGCAGATCCTCTCGCAGCTCCTGACGCACAAACACCTGCACCATGAGATTCGCGAGAAGGGTGGCGCTTACGGGGGCGGTGCCTACACGCGTCCCCTGGACGGAGTGTTTGGCTTCTACTCGTACCGCGACCCGAACCCTGTCAACACGCTCAAGGTGATGCGCGGTGCAGGCGAGTGGGCCGTGGACCGTGAGTGGACGGCGCGGGACCTCGAGGAGGCCAAGATCTCGGTCTTCCAGGGCGTGGACGCACCGAAAGCGGTCAACTCGGAAGGAATGAGCGAGTTCCTGTACGGCATTACCGGGGACATGAGGAGCGCGCGGCGCAAGCAGCTCCTCGACGTCACGCGCGATCAAGTCCAAGAGGTTGCGCAGAGGTACATCGTTGATGCACTTCAGTCTCAGGATGAGAGGGTCGTGTTTCTGGGCGAGAAGGCCGAGTGGGCGGACCACTCATGGGCGATGCGTGAGATGAACGTCAAATAAAGAAAGCAGTGCGCCTATGCACCGCACCCTTTTGCAGGCGCAAGGGGTTGGACTCTCCGCTGGGGTTCTGTAATACTCACCATGTAGAAACACTCTCACGACATACACAATGATACCCCTCTCAAAAGCAAGTGGGCTAGTAGACGGGACGCACGCGACCAACAAGACAACAAACAACAGCCGCCCGGGTTCCAAGCCGACAGACGCGGGCTCCATGCCGGCAGCACGAAACTGTCCGTGTTGCATGTGAGATGAAAAGAAACAGCGCTCAGATACGATACTCCTCGGTGGCCGATCCTCGCGGGTCCCCATGGCTCCGAGGACACTTAGAATGCGCAAGATCAAGTACAGGCTCCTGTGGACGGCGGTCAAACGCAGACCCAGAGCCGTGGCTCTCTTTTCAGAACCAACTTCTTCAGCTTTGGGAGCTTGGACTAAAATGAAGAGTACATGCTAACCTTGCCCCTTGCGCCGGTCACCCGGTTTGTCCCTGCGGGCTTTTGCGCTGGCCTATCTATACCGGGTCAAGCCGGCGACTTGGACGAATTAGCAAGGAGTCGTAAGCCTCACCTACGCCAGATGGCGCGCAGCTCCCGTCTCGAGTTGAGGGGACGAATGGCAGACGGGTAAGAGAAGAAATTCCCCGCGATAACGTCATGCGGGAAAGGGTGCAGGACTATACTTCTGGCGGGGCTTGCCTCTGGACGGGGTTGCCGCACCGAATCAAGCCGCGTAATGCGAAGGCGCAGGTATTTTAGATACCTAGGTTTTGGATACCTAGCAACCTCAGGTGGCCTCCCCCATGCCAACTCATGCAAGCTGCTGCTGATTGGGGCCTGCTGCTGGTCCGACAGCAGCAGCGGGAGTCGGTGCCTGAAAAGACGACCCATCCGTGGCGCGGGTTTAACGCAAGAACAACGCTGGCATCTATGTTGGACGGCATGGAATGTAGCACTGCAGTGGTTTACAGCGGTACCTGACAGTGCCGAGTCAGGCCAAGCCGTTGCCAGAGCGCTGTCCCGTTGCCGATCGACGCGAGCTCACCGATTTCGATTTCGGAGACGAGCAGACGCCTTGGCTCGTCTGTCTCGTTCTCGAGGCGAATTCACCTCCGCTGCTGTACCGACGCCGGGCAGGCTTCCCTGGCCTGTTCTCGCCTCATTTTATCCTGTCCGCGGGCCTTGTCTAGAACCCAGAGCAAACACGGACCGATGACACGTACGTCGTCGCCTCATATGTGGCGTGTGTTCCGTTTTTGGGAAGCCTTCTTTTTTCTTCTACTTTTTCCTCTCGAGTACCGCGGGTGCGGGAAGGTGCATTTTCAGCAAGCCATCAATGGGAAGGTCGCTGGTGCGGCATTTTGAGGCCCGCCCTGGGCACTACACTACCCGGGCCAGACCCGACAGGCCAGCCAGACAGACCGCCAAACGGACTGGCATCGGTGGCCCTCCCTCATCCCTTCCGGCTTCTCTTTCCCCATTTCTTAACCTCTCCCCCCCTCCTCTCCCCCTGGAGGTGGAGCCGAATATAGTCGTTGTAAAAATGTCTATCTGCCCGGTCTTCCAAGCTCCGCCGTTTTGTCAAGCTCAACAACACGCAGCTACCTGCCGAGAACCATGGCACCGTATTGGAGGTCGTAAATGCGCGCGTCTATCTAGTAGCCGTGCAAGCCAGACTATAGCGGGCGGCCATATGTGACTAGGTTCGTCTGGCAAATAAATGGATAATCACAGGGCGGCAGGTTGCATCATGATATATCTATGATATACACGAAATCACCAGGTACGCGCACCACATGCCATGCCGGGTTACCGACTTGGGCACCGCTAAGTGGCTGGTGTCGCGCGAGTGGGAGGGTGACTCCCCGGCTGGGAGCAGCTCGGCAGGGCCCGGCTGGTCTGGTTCAAAGCCAAGACGGCAGAAAGACCGGTCTGGAGACTCGTGTTCTGCCCATTCCCCTCGACCGTGAAGTTGCGGTCAGAACCAGAAAAGGCGGCTTCAGGATCCAGCGAGGACCAGGAAGGGCGGCGGATGCGAGCATAACATGGAAATTATGGGCCCGAGGCCCACCACGTCGTCCTGGCTCAGCGTGTCATCGAGATGGATATGGATGGCTAAAATGACCAAAATAAAAACATAAAAGAATAACAGGGAATTCCCAAGCACAGCCGCAACCCAAGCCAGACGCGGACCAGTAAATAAATAAATTCATTTCCATTTTGGGAAGAAAGCGAACCCTATTGCCCTATTGCCCAATTCTCCTGTTCATCTCGATCCCCTAGCGACAAATTAGGAAGCAACCCACCAACACCAAGCAGGGAAGGACAGGAGGAGAAGAAAAAAAAAAGATTCCGCCCCACACTGCGCCCACCGCCTGCCACACATTTCTCCTGAAGTTTTCCTAGGCCTCGTCCTTCTTCGCGTCTCTTCTCCTCTGTTTTTTCTCCAAAACAAATCCGGTTCAGTTCTCGCATCCAGTTGATTACCGTCCTGCTCGACTCGCTCGAGCCAACCCCGTCCTTGCCGACTGTTTTTACTCTGTTTCCGCCACGGCCAGAACCGTCACGTCAGCCCTTTTTTTGCTCACTTGTGACTCGAGTCCGCTCGGTGCGTAAGCTTCTCCCCCCAACCAGACCCCTCCCCTCCTCTCCCTCCCGAGCCTGTCGTTGCCGTCGTCGTTATTGTTGTTGTCCGTGTTCTTTTTGCTATTTATTGGGTCGCTCTGGTGCCATCACATGTCGGTCTCAAGACACGTTGGATGAACCGCCAATCTCTCCTCTCTCCCTCTCTCTCTCTCCCTCTCAGTGTCGTGCGCTGTTTTTTGTCGTTCCAGAGTTCGCCTACGTCGTGCTTTGTCTGGACTGGTCCGGTCTCGCTCTCGACTGGCCAATTTAGCCCCCGAAAAACTACTCCTCACACCCTTTTATTCTTGTCGCATTGGCGCACCGTCACTCCAACACTTTGACTCGACTCTAGATATACCATCACAGCATATCGACATACCGGCAGACAGCAAGAGTACATAACTGACCAGTCGGCCCTCCTCTAGCCGCCTCTCACACCCATCCAGACTGCCTTTGGTCTGATCAAAGGCGAACACACCACCACGGCTTCCAGGGCCGTGTTCTTCGTCTCTGATCAAGATTTCAGCCATCGCAAGACGTTCCATATCATCAACTCGCGCCCACCCCCCGCTGCTGAGGTCGCCCAAGCAGCCCGAGCTCTTTTTGCTTGATCCTTTGTTTCAACACCTGTGCCCCGAGTCCACCCCCAACCGCCAGCTGCCGCATAGGACGGGCTCTAAGGTTCTTCCTCTTACCGAGGGAGAGTCGAGGACACCTCGTCAGGTCGCCACGGGACCCGCCTGCTATCGCTTCCGGCCCCCCTAACACCCCTTCTGCAAGCTCCCGTATAACCAAACTCCTAGCACCTGCGCTAGCACGTCCCAGCTCTCCCTCCGCTCAACTCGTGGGATATGGTTATGGCAACAGCTCTTACCGATCGCATCACCCCAGTCGACTTTAATCACACGTTTTTAAAGAAGACCACCCCGGGATTCTTGGACCACCAGCACAATGGCGAGCTAGTCTCCAAGCAACTGATCGGCGATGCCCTTCGCTCCCGCGTGGAGAGCATCGACCACGAGTTCTGTGACCCCGGCGACGAGGACACCTTCTTCGTCGCCGACCTCGGCCACGTCTACCGCCAGCACCTGCGCTGGAAGCGGAACCTCCCCCGCGTCAAGCCCTTCTATGCCGTAAAGTGCAACCCGGACCCTCAGGTGCTCCGGCTGCTTGCAGAGCTCGGCAACGGCTTCGACTGCGCCTCTAAGACGGAGATCAAGCAGGTCCTCGACATGGGCGTCGACCCCTCGCGCATCATTTACGCCCAGCCCTGCAAGACCAACTCCTACGTCCGCTACGTCGCCCAGGAGGGCGTGCGCCAGATGACCTTCGACAACGCCGACGAGTTGCACAAGATCGCCAAGCTGTACCCCACCGCTGAGCTCTTCCTGCGCATCCTGACCGACGACAGCTCCTCGCTCTGCCGCCTGAGCCTCAAGTTTGGTGCCTCGCTCGACTCCACCGACGGCCTGCTCCGCCTCGCCCGCCAGCTGGGCCTCAACGTCGTTGGCGTCTCCTTCCATGTCGGCTCCGGTGCTTCCGACCCGCTCGCCTTCCTCAAGGCCGTCCGCGACGCCGACACCGTCTTTGCCCAGGCTGCCGCCCATGGCTTCGACATGAAGACGCTTGATGTTGGTGGTGGCTTCTGCAGCGACGAGACCTTTGAGGCCATGGCCGGCGTTCTGCGTGATGCCCTCGAGGAATACTTCCCGCCCCACCGCAACGTGGCTCTGATCGCCGAGCCCGGCCGCTACTTCGTCTCGGCCGCCTTCACAATCGCCTGCAACGTCATTGCGCGCCGCACCCTCGAGGACCCTGCCAACGCCGCTGCTGGCATCGTGGCTAACCCCAGCTACATGGTTTACATCAACGACGGGCTATACGGCAACTTCAGCAGCATCATGTTCGACCACCAGCACCCTGTTGCCAAGGTGCTCTCGTCCTCTGGTACCTTGCTCTACAACACGTCTGCCGCACAGGCGGCCGAGGACGAGGGCATCGAGTACTCAGTGTGGGGCCCCACATGCGACGGCATTGACCGCATCTCGGAGAGCGTCCGCTTCCAGCAGACCATCGATGTTGGCGACTGGCTCTACTTTGAGGACATGGGTGCCTACACCAAGTGCTCCGCCACCCGCTTCAACGGTTTCTCCGACTCCCACGACGTCGTTTACGTCTGCAGCGAGCCGGCTGCTCGGGCTATGCTCATGAACTTTGCTTGAGACGACTCGCTTTTAGCCCGTCTGAAGCGACGGCTGTTTCAGGGTTGAACCAACATGTTTGCTTTTTGTCTTTGGTTCGTTCGATCGAAACTTGGCACATGTTGTGTCATGGTTAGATGGATCCGCGCGTGGCTTTTGGGACGAGATATGACGGACGAGAGGTAAAAAATTCGGTGACTGTGAAAGGAATACGAAGAAAAAAACGGGTTCCTACGCAGCAGTATAGTGCACTTTCACTTCTTGAGAATAGCATTTATAGATAGACTTGGCTCTTGCTAACTTTGGCGCAAAGTTAGATTAACAGCAAGCGAACAAAAAAGAGCTTTGAATAGAGATATTTAAAGTGAAGCATGCAGCGCCATTGACGAACCGTGGATGAGTGAATATTGGCCCTATCGCAAGAACACAGCAGAGTCGTGCTCTCGATAGTCGGGTCTTACCATAACACAAATTGGTCAGATCAACTTTGTTTCCTTGTCAAACTTGGTTAGGTATCCAGGTGTGGTGGTCTCTGATTCCAACACCCCCGCCCTGGCTAATCTATCAGGATGAGCCTTTGCAAGGCTGGCAGCATTCTCGCCTGCCTTGTCTATCCCACCACATGTCGCGCTGATGATAGGGCAACTGCTGATACACCAGTCCCTCAGGTCTAGGAAACCAAGTTCAAGCAAAGAGGAAGAAAAGCGCTTTATTTTGCCCCAGATGGTGATGTCAGCGTCCCCTACAGATCCTTAGGCTCGCCGTCCGTATCATCATCGCCAGATTCATCGTCGTCGTCCTCGCTGTCGTCCCCTTCGCTCTCCTCGTCGCCCGCGTCATCATCTCCGTCCTCTCCCTTAAAGCCGTAGTCGTCGTGGAAGTGCGACAGGGTCTGCACCTGCGTCTTGTAGCCCATCGACTTGAATGCCTTATCCATCGACTGATGGCAAACAAAACAGACAAGGTTAGCAAAAAGAAATGGGATTCGAGGTTATAGGCAAATGCGTGACAGGGACAACATACCTCTTGCAGAAGCGGCGCACACGTTACGACAACATTGCTAGACCCAGGCTTGAATATGGGCACGATGAGCTCCGAGACGACGCGGTGGATCTCGTCGTGGGAGACATTGCGCACGGCCGCCATGATTCGCCTGTTCCAGTCGGGCGAGAGCCCGCGGATGACACCGAGGACAAAGTTCTGCTGCGCCGCGGCCGCCATAGTTGCCTGCTCGTCGGCAAAGCCCATGACGATGCCCGAAACGGCGCCCTCGACGAGATGGCGGTCGAGCGGGGCGGTTCCGGAGCCAATCGCCTCGACGGCGGCACGACTGGCCTCAATGGCCTTTGACGCGTCGGGTGACCGGTACACCTTGTACTGCAGGTAGCCGTCATCGAGCTCGCGGCTGAACGAGACGCCGTAAGCGAGCCCGTTCCCGCGAACAGCGTTCCATAGCGGGCCCTCGACCGCCTCGAGGTAGCCGATAGCCACCAGGAACGCGGGCAGGCGAGGGTCCGAGTACGACAGCGGACTCGAGGCTGTGCTTACGCTATATGAAGAATCCAGAGTCGTCATGGGGATGATGACAGTCCCGACCGAGCCCGGCTTGCGGCCCTCGTCGCTCAGCATGGCCGACTGCCTCACTATCGGCACCATGTCCTTGGGGTCCGGCGCCCAAAGCCTCTCCGTCAGGGCATCCCAGGCAGCGACCGGGTTTTGCAGCTTGGACACATCGGCGGTGACCAGGACACGCGTGTTCTCAAAGGTGAAGAGCGCCTTGCGCAGCTCTTGGAACCACGACACAACCGTCTCTGGCTCCTTCTCGAGCAGCTTTTTCAACCTCCGGAGGTAAACGGCCTTGACCAGCGTCCGCTTCGCCACAGGGTACGACTGCTTGACAAAGTGGATGGCTATGTCCACCTCCTGTGACATGATCTTGCCGTCACGCTTGGACTCAGGTATGTCGGCCAGCGCCTTGGCCACGCATGCCTTGAGGCGCTGCGGGTCAAAGATGCTGTCAAACATCATGGTGCGGATCCATCCGATGATGGTGGCGTACTTGTCGGGCTCGATCTGGAATTGCAGCACCATGCTCTCGGGGTCGCTGACCCTGTAGCCCGAGCTGAGATGGTAACTGATTGTATCTTTCTCGAGCTCCATGACGACCTCCTCGAACTCGATTTTCTTGCCGCCCCGCATGATGGGCGAGTTGAAGAAGTTGTCGTTAAAGAGCGAAAGCAGCGGCAGCAGCTTGACGGGTGCCGGCGAGGTGCCGATGTGGACCGTAATATGCACAAAGTTGCTCGGGACATGCTCAAACTGCACAAATAGGGGGAGGCCCTGGGGTACACCGTCGATGAGCTTCTGCGCCGGGCCCGCGGGCGCCCCCACAGCCTTGGCCTTTCCGGTTCGTGCGGTGCTCGACTCGATGAAGTGAATGGACTCAGTCCCGGGGACGGGCCACTTGTCGATGACCGACTCTGGAATGGCGATCTCGTTCTTCTTCTTCGCAGCCTCCAACCGCTCTGCGAGCTTTTTGAGACCCTCTGGGCCGAGTTCCGCCTTCCGTTTGGCTATCCGCTCCTCCTCGGCAGCCTTGAGCTTATTGGCTAATTCCATCGAGGGCTTGCCCAAAATGGATACGTGGTGGGCATCCGACATCCATTTTCTGAGGAAGGCTCGCCACTGCTCGTCCGTCCATGACTCCAGGGTGTCGTACTCGTGAAGGCCCTTCATCTGCTTCAGGGTAGAACCGTCGCGCTTTCCAAACAGATAGTCCGTGATGATGTTGCCCGAGTAGAACTGCTCAGAGCCCTCGGCCTGGAACTTGACCTGCCTTCGCTCACGGCTGAGGCACTCCTTCATGTACTTCATGTCAATGGGTTTCTCAGCCACCTCCCTGAGGAGCGATATCAGACGCTGCTCGACGAATGCAAGCTTCTCGGTCGCAACGCCCGTGGGCTCGAACCAGATGACCGAGTTCGGCCGGCTGTCCCACCACGTCCCGATTGAGCTCGCCAGCTCCTCCCTCTCAACCATGATGTTCTCAAGAATAGACACGGACGAGCCGCAGAGGTACGTCAGGAGGATGTTTAGGGCAGAAGACTCGATGATATCGGTGCAGCTGGGACCGAAGAAGGCTACCACGACCCCACCTGTCGACTCGTCCTCTTCGGGAAACTCGACAGTCTCCACAACGGTCTCTTTCAGGGGAGGGGGCTGTGCCGAGTCGATCCAGGGCCTTTTGGACAGATGGTTGTCAGCAAGCAGCACGCGGTCGAGACCGATATGCAATATGGTAGCAAGTGACACCATTCATGGCATACACACCTCTTGAATGGGGCATCCGGGGGCGGGATATGATCCTTAATGCTCTCCTCGAAGCCTTCCAGGATCTGGAGGAGGTTGTCATGGTCTGTCTCGCCGACGATTATGAGAGCCAGGTTCCGCGGCTGGTACATGACTTTGTGAAATTCACGGATCCTCTCAGGAGTCAGAACCCTGAGAGCCTCCATCATGCCGCCTGTCTCGTAGCGGAACCCGATGTTCTCAGGATAGAGAAGGCGGCGGGCCCTGAGGTACATGAGCTCGGTACTGGAGTACTGCAGCGCCTGCATTTCCGAGTAGACAACACCGGCATCGTTGCCCTCGCCGTCGATGTGATGGACCTCAGTGGCGCAGCCCTCGTCCGTGATTGTGGGCACGAGTACGTGCTCTAGGTACACGGGTAGGATTTGCGCGAAGCCATCCCAGCCGGCGGTCTCCAGGGTGTAGGCAGTGTGGTCGATGGCGGTCCAGGCGTTAGTGCCCGAGTAGGCACGAGAGGCGAGTTTGTCCAGCAGACCCTTGTACTGGTAGCTCCGAGACCCCATAAAGACCAGATGCTCAAGGGTGTGAGGAGCACCCGAGTCGTCGAAGATCTCAGTGGCCAGCGTGAAGTAGCCGTTGACCTTTGGCCCCTTGCGGTCGGCCACGACGACCTGCATACCGCTTCTCAGGGACTCATATTGCGTGATAACGGTAGGCGCATAGTCTGTCTGGAAGCTCTGGACCTTGCGGAAACCATGGCTCCCTTGTTCGCCGCTCATGTTGGAGAACTTGTTGGAAATTTGGGTAAACAGTCTAAGCACGGTGTGATATTGGTTAGTCGCCAAGCATGAAGGCCAATGGACATAGGCTGGCGTTGGGAGGAGATGGAACAGAAGACGGTCGGTAAATGTTTGCAGTCCAGGGTCGGTCAGGTAAACCCTGATAGGCAGATAGGTAGGCGGATTGCCACATGGGGATGACCGCCTCTCCTAGTAGGACAGTCCAAAGTTTGGGGGTTGTCAAGACAGCAATTGTCTAGGCTTGGGAGTGTTGCGGATGAGCAGAGTAGCGCGGATATACATTTCCCGAGATGCAGCGCATGATGCTGATCATGGTGCTGGTCCCGGGAAGCGGTCAAAGGCGGAAAAGGCGAGGGAGCCGATGCAAAGACTCCATACCCAGTCTCACTCTCGGCGCGCACGCATGCGAGGATAAAGAGCAAGCCCACGGCGATATTAATTACCCCCTCGAGCATTGAGTTGAGGACGACCTTCCTGAGGCGCATCGTCTGGGCATGTGCCTGAGCATATGCCTGGGCGTGTGCATCGGAACGTGACCGAGCCTGAGGATGCCCGTCGGCAGCATAGTGGTTGCAAAGACAGGCACAAGAGTCGGGATGGATGGGGGCATGGGGCTGGGCGGCCGTTGGCCGGTCCCGGCGTGCAGGTCGAGTGTGGTCACAGGATATGGTCCTGACGTGGGACCTGTTCGGGCCAGTTTTTCTGGCTGCAGTCCCGGGCTCAACCGCAGGCCCATGGCCAGGCCCGATATTCCGACCTTGGCCTTTGGGCCGACTGAGCATCTCGGGCCGGGACGCAGGGGGCAGCAGGCGACAAATCAGGGACGCGGCGATAGGATATGTCGGAAGGGGGGCAGGCGGCAATCAGGGCTGGGCTTGGGAAAAAAAAAGACGAGGGCCGGGCCGGTGTGAAGGGCCATGGAAGTCAAGTGAAAGGAGGGCAGAAGGAAGGAGGAAAAGAAAGAAAAGAAAAGGCCCAGGCAGCCAGCAGCGCCGGCGTGGTTTTGTCTTGCACCCACGTCACTTCACGTACCTCCTGGTGCGCCCTGCAGGCAGAGTCTCTGGAATACAGCCGGTGGCCAGCAGTCGGCTATCGGCAGGAGGGTGGGCAGCAGGTGAGGGAGGCCAATGAAGGAAGGGCACGCTCGTGTGGGCAGACGATGGGCGACAGCCTGGCTTGGGTGTCGGGGCTGGGACTGGGACTGGAACGGGACTGGATCGAGGGAGGGCGGGGATCGCAGGATTGTGCGAGGTTGGCAACCGTGGGCCTTCCAAGCGGATGCCTTCGCCTGCTCCCTGCGCAAAGTCTTGGTTCGTCCCGAGGCGGGTGGACTACCTGACTGGAACGCCCGGGTATTGATTGAGCGGGGGTATTGGCGAAGGGCGGTGGCTCGGCGTGCGCTGTCTCCTGCCAAAAGTGCAGCTCGTTTTGAGGGGGCGGGGGCGTGTGTAGACGACCCAAGGTGGTGGGCTCAACGCCGCAACTACCTGGCCTGGCTTGTGCCGATCGCGGCAGGCTCTCTACTAATTTCCATTAGCTGACTTCTCTAGCTTTTCTGTTCTTCTTCTCCTTTTCGGGCTTCCTTGCCGCCGCTTTCACCAGATTCGGGGACCCAGCTCGGGAGGCAACGCTCAATATTAACCTCAACTTGGGCCGCGGTGCAGGGCTAGCTGCTGCAGGGTACGCTAGAAGGAGGGGCGGCATGTTAACCCGGTTGCCAACCGCCAAGCCTAGGCAGTTCTTCAGTCCTAAACCTAAACCCTACCCCACCCCTGAAGGCTGAGCTCCAACGTCACCCACAGGCGCACAGGCCACACCCCAGAGCTCCAACAGCTGTGATCTATCCCAGACATTAACATCGAGGACAGCACGACTGCCGTCAAGGCCGCTAATAACCGCCGACGATCCCTGCGTCGAGTACTGCGAACACGAAGTCGAGGCAAGAGCGAGAACAGGACATCGCGCGCGGCTAGCAAACGCCCGAGATAGACGGAGAACCACCATCGCGCACGGCTGGCCGCTGCAAAGCGCAGAGGGGCTGCCTCGACCCCAGCACTCCTGGACGACCCCGGCGCGCTGCCCCTAGCCATGGCGGCTACGCCCGCAAACGCCCTCGGGCCGGCCCTGGTCGCCTTTGCCATCGAGGGCTCGTTCCCAGACGAGCATCTATCCTCACTCAAGATCGCGCCCAAGGAGCTCCCTGCCGGGATCAAGGCCCTACAGGACGCGAAATCAACACTCGAGGTAAGTGCCCATGTGAAAAAGGGGGCCAGCGGCAACTTCTAGCCCGTACCTGATACTAATAACCCAAATTGCCTCGCCCAGGACGAAATCCGCACCGTCAACCACGAGACCGCCGACGATGTCAAGACGTGGTATGACAATGCCAAGACACTCCAGGACGACATCAACCGCTCCAAGCAGATGGCCGGTGATATCCAGCGGGAGGCAGAGGAACCCGAGGTCTCGGGAAAGACTGTTGAGGAGGCCGAGTCCAGGGCAGCGTTTCTAGTGCGCGAGCTGAACTACAACGACCAGCTAATTCAGACCCTGCGGGCCATCAAAGCTGTAACTACCATACTTGACGAGGTTGAGCAGGCCCGCGCCGAGAGGCGCATCCTGGACGCGCTCCATCTGCTAGAGAGTACGCACACACCTCACTCTTGGCGGCTGACGGCGCGTCGCTAACCCCCGGCAACAACAGAATCGTGGGCGAGTCTAGACGCCCTCTCCGTCAGCGGCTCGTGTAAAGCCGTCAAGCTGCTAAACATGCGCGCCTTTGAGCTCAAGTCGGATGTGCACGAGGTCTTTGACCACGTCTGGAATGCACTCGTTCACCTCGACGCCGAGAAGTCCGAGTTTTCAGTCCAGCAGACCCGCTCAGGTAGCCAACATCACTATCTCGTTCCAGGCGGCCACCTGTTGCTGACACCTGTATGCCCTATCTAGATGAGCCTATGAGTCTGCCTGATGCCGTAGTTGGCCTCCAGGCGTACAAGGAAGTCGACCGGCGGATGTCTGATCTCTGGCATGGCCTGGACGAGGCCATTGTCGGTCCAAGGATGGACCTACAGAGCTCCTCTCCTCTACCTGGCATTCAAGTTCAAGATGTAGGCTATATATCCATCCGGTTAATTCTGCCTGCAAATCAAACTACCGTTAGTGCTGACCAGCCTTGTAGCAATGTTTACGAGCCACAGGGGAATCTGTACGAACTGTCGAGGCGTTGTTTGCAGATCTCGTCCAGATCCTCAAGTTCCTCGCAGCTGCCCTTCCTCTCGAGCTTGTGGAGGTCCTGTCCAAGGTCATGATGCCTGAATTAATCAACAGGATCATAAACGTGTGGCTCAGCGCGGCAGTGCCAGCGTCCCTGAAGGACATGAACGAATTCCAAGCCGTGATCGAGTCTGCCAGGGCGTTTTGTGCTCAGGTGACAAGCTTGGGCTTCTCAGAACTCGACGATCTCCAGGAATGGGTCGAGAGCGCGCCCAAAGTCTGGCTCTCCAAATGCCGGGAAGCGGCGCTGGATACCATTCGCACAAAACTATCACAAGGTAAGCCCCATATCTGGTGGCCCGTCGCAAGAGGGGCGAAAATGGTGCTGATTACTATATTGCAGGACTGGGAACGCCCAAGCAAGTGGAGAGGATAGAGACACAGATTGTTTCCCGGTCCGAAGGCAAAGAACTCGCCGCAAACGGTCCGTCAGCCGGCGCAGCCACCGACGATCACGGATGGGACTCGGCCTGGTCAGATGGCGACGCCGGGGAGCAACAAGAAAGCGCCGTGGAGAGCAAGAAGCCCGCAGAACCCGCCCCAGAAGTTGGCGATGACGATGTCGACGCATGGGGTGCCTGGGGTGCTGACGAGGAGATCTCGGACGAGGCCAAGGTCGAGGATGGCAAGTCCGATGCCAAGGATGACCCCAAGCAGGACGAGAAAGAAGCGAAACGAGACGCCAAGGGCGCCAACGATGACGAAAGCGATGCGGCAGATGCCTGGGGCTGGGGCGAGGACGACGTGCAGGAGGAGCCTTCAGCAGCGCCCGAAGCAAACCCTGCTCCCAACCCTCGTGCCGACCACAAGGCAAACACGGGGTCTAGAGAGCTGACATTGAAGGAGACGTACAACATCACTTCTATGCCAGACCCTGTGCTCTCCCTAGTATTTTCTATCCTTGAGGATGGCGCTGCGCTCACGCAAACAAGGTGCGTATGGAGGTGGGGTCTTCTCTATTGCGTCTAAGCTAACATGGGACAGCCATGAGAGCAACCCCGTCGCCACTGCTGCCGCCGGTCTTTTCAGTGTTCCAACGCTGGTCCTTGCCATGTTCAGGGCGGTGTCGCCGTACTACTATTCAGCAGGCCTAGGCGGAAACATGTATGTCACGACTTAAAGGACGAGTCTCATCTGATCCCAGCTTGCCGGAATATCCTAACCTCTCGCGTTGCCGCAGGTACCTTTATAACGACGCCACTTACTTGGCAGGGAGGCTTGCCGACTATGCGGCAGCATGGAAAGCCCGAGAGGACCTGACAAGCCGCGCCAGGAACATGTTGCGAATAGATAACGATGTTAAGGCCCTGCAGGCCTTTGCCAACCGTGCATATAGCAACGAAATGAGCACACAGAAGACCATTGTGAAGGACCTTCTGGGAGGTAAGCAGCCATTCTATCCGGCTCGGAGTGACTCGAAGTAGCCCCAAGTGCTGACTGCTTGTTCTGGCGCAGGGCAGCAAAGCGTGATGGAACAGAGCTTTATGGAGTCGGCTGTGGCGCAGGTACGGTCGGTCTCGGCGGCCTGGGATGGGATTCTGACCAAGTCGGCCTGGTTCCAGGCGGTGGGTTCTCTCGTCGACGCCGTGGCGACCAAGGTCATCGCCGACGTCATGGAGATGCCCTCGATCGGCCAAGACGAGGCCTACAATATCGCAAACATGATTTCAAGCATCACCGAGCTTGACGATCTCTTCCCACCAACCCGCATAGGCGACGAACAGATCCCGTCGACAAGCCAGTACGTGCCCTCGTGGCTACGACTCAAGTACCTCTCCGAGGTGCTGCAATCGAACCTACGTGAGGTTCGCTACCTATGGATCGAGAGCGAGCTCAGTCTCTACTTTACGCTCGAGGAGACGCTGGACCTCATCAGTGCCAGTTTCGAGGACAACGCGAGGACAAAGGAGATCGTGCGCGAAATCAAGGCCAATCCACATCCCATACAGACGTAGTGCCAGGGACGCCATCCACCCGATGATGATGCGCTGATGGTGGACAAAGCGGTCGCTATAGGCTGGCCAACCGAATAATAATTCATAGACGACAAACCCGAGCAACCCATGCCCTGTGGCGCCAAGCATGTGCGTAGCCATGGTCTGATACACCGCCGGACACAAGAGCCAGATCCTGTGGGCGCTTCCATCTGTGGCCCCGATGTCCGACGTGAGCGACAGAAACGGTTGGACAGACAACGACATCGGTCATCTCGCAGGGTCGGGCGAGTCGGGGCAAACAGGAGCATCCTGGAGCCAGATCTGGGCCCATCAACCTTGCTGAATGGTGCCATGCTCTCGCCGTGGCGGCGGCCACTGCTTCCGCGCCACCCGCCGTACGCTTTGTGTCACGGCCAGGATGGGGGGGTACAAATTCGCCGAGCGACGCCACGGTTCCACGCGCACGCATTGCAGCACCAAGGTTGGGCCATACGAAAAGGCCGCGTGTGGGATACGACATGGCACACGAGAAGACCCTTGCGGGCCACGATGAGCGCTAGTAAGACGTCTTGCATCATCATAGAGACGACTCTCAACGGATCATGGACTTTTTTTTTCTGGAGAGGACGCATGACGGAACACCGCACGGTCTCCTGACTTCAAACCTAAACGTGGCCTTGGTCCTTTTGTCTTACTCTTCTTTTTCTTCCTCTTCGGAAAAGGGGCGCGGCGTTATCGGAAGGACGTGCGAGGCGGTCGGGACTGAGGAAGCCACAGGAGCACAAGGTGGTGGCACGGGAGCGGCTTGTTGCATGTGGCATATGGCCTGCCTGCCTACCTGCTTGCCTGCCTGATCGAGTACAACAGCCGTGGGAATATTAAGATAAGGAGAAGAAAAGGAAAGAGATTAAATCAAAAACAGACAACATCAAACAGCCGAAGGCGAGGTACGGGATCGAACCTTTCCCCGCACTGTACACGCCCAAGTGCGAGGGTGCCATGTTTACAAATCCATACACAAGCTTGAGGTGTGTCCAGGCATGGTGACACGGGGCGCGAACCACTGCCTGTTGCCTCTGCGCAGCCTGGCTAGGTACATGTGTGCCTCGCGCTAGGTCGAGTACCTGCCCAGCCGCACCGCTGCCCCTTGGTAGATGACATACCGTAGTATCTAGATAGGTACCTAGAGTAGGTATCCATGTCTCTCTCTTCTCCCAACCCCCCTCACTCCCAGCCCCCCAGCCGCCCTTCCCGTTCTTCACCTTGACCGATGCTGGGTGAGGCTAGCGAGACGCATGCCATCTACCCGCCCCCGGCACTTGCGCCCTGCACCATCGGCCCACACCCGGCGGCCGGCGGCCGGCTAGATGCGTTGTTGCTATTGCCGCCCTGGGCGTTTCAAGTGCTTGATTTGCCCATTGACTTTTACTTTCCTTACCCCGCATGTCCCCCCTTGTCTAGCCCACGATCTATCATTCGGCCAGGGCTGCTGCGTGCGGCGCCATGATTAAGTTTGGCGCCCGTGCCAAGCACGAAGGTAGGCAAGTCCCGGTGGCACGATGTAACGGGGGAGTACTGTAGTCGCCTCGTTTTCTTTTCTGTTTGTTCGCAGCCATTAGCCTCCTCGAAACGGGGGTACATAAATGGTTTAAGGGGGCCCTGTCCGCTCGAGTCCCATGGTACGGGGGCGGAACAAAATCCCCGCCTCAACTGACTACCCATCTGATGGAGATGAGCCCTTGTGGTCGATGAGAGAGAATAAAAGAAAACAAGGTTGGCGGACGGGAGACAGGCCGGTCGATGTAGCATCAACGACGTCACACCGCCGCGCCACGCTTTGAGAAAATATCGCGCCATCCTGCAGAGGCGGGACCCATGAGGTCCATCCAACTGCCCATACTCTGTCCCCCACGTCGTCCATCCCCTGCCGTCCACGGGCCACTTGGCGCGTCGTGATATCGTTGGCTCTCGCCTCCCCACTCCCCGACGGGCTCCGTCCCAGCCGAGGGCATGTAAAGCAAAAAGGGAAGTGGGTAGGGCATGCAAGACAGAGAGAGGATGAGCCGGCAGGCAGGAAGTTGTGTTTGGCCCACCCCTTTAAAGCTAACAAGGCGCGCACGTCGGCAGGCAACGCGGGGGAGGATGGATGGGGTGGATGAGAGTCTCCGGGAGTGTTGGCCGTGTGCACCAATGGGCGAGCAGGGGGGTAAAACCCTATGTCGATCATCAGAGAAAATGACTAAGGGGGGAAAAAGAGAGTAAAAAAAAAAATGAAAAAAAAATGAAAAAAAAAGAAGGCGGCTGCTACTCCTGCAAGATGGCGCCTTCCTTTTCGTCCCACCCCAACCTGATATCGCCCTTCAGTCTGCCTCCCCTCCCACTCCCGATACCCGAGAGGAGAGACACCACCTAGGACATGTCTGCGGTGCCTGGATGTATCTCGTGGAGAATGGGCACCCGAGAGTGAAACCAGGAGCATGCGGGCCGGCATCAAAGGCCTCGTCTACAACAAGCGCTAGTCTATTCATGCTTTGAGGAACATGGGCTGCGTTGGCACGCCTTGGTACGAATCAACCAGCTCGCCCCCCGCGCCCATGGACCACAACATGCCATCCCCATCCAGTCTCCCTTTCTCACTCGAGTGCCGCCCGCCCGCCCGCCGCCGAGATGCGATGGGCAGGCCAGGCATGAGGGCAAGAGTCAGGTCCAGAAAGGCACCTACCTCCCTTTAACCCTCCCTGACGCGTGCCTGCTCCTTGGAATGGCCCCGGCTGGAAAGGCAGACCGGTCTTGCTTCGGCTTGTTGTTATGTGCAAGGCGGCGCCATGCCGGCTCTCATTTGCCCTGCTCAGTCCCGCGTTTTCCCCTCGCTGCCCTTGGATGGATAAATGAGGCCACAGAAGCAGCCCAAGGGGACCCCGCCCCTAGATAGGTAGAAGAGGCAGCAGGTGGAGGGGCGTGTGTGCCCGACGGTATAGGCCACACACCGATTTCTGTCCCTACCTCGCCCTCCTTTGGCGACACCGGGGGGAGGTCATTATCGGGCAGCGAGCGACGTCGGTCAGGCACGCATATTGTGGCCCTTGCCCGGTGCATGTATTCAACAAGTACAGTGCTCGTAGTACCCATGCCACAATGTGTCCCCGCGTGCCCCTCCCCTCTGCTCTGCGATGACGCCGAACAAGGAGAGAAAAGCCGAGCCGGAGGTAGTAGGCACGGAGGGGCGCCCAGCGATATATCTGCAAGTCCCCGTAGGTAGCCCGCATACCCAAAGAAAGAAGGCGGGCGAGAAGGAACACACACAAAAAAAAGCAAGAAGAGGGCGGGGTGGCTGGCCCCAAATCGTATCATCCAGCAACTAGGTACTTACTGCGTACGTAGCAAGCTCGACAGGGAGGAGAAAAAGGGGTCCGCGAACTACATTAATCCCAGTCCCCTGTGTAGGGCTGTACGACGACGACGACGACGACGGCGGCGGCAAACCCGCCCCGTATCTATTGCGGTCCAACAAACAAAAAGAAAAGCATCCCTGATCCCTTCCCCTTCCCGGACATCGCCTATCAAAAATACCCTCCGCCGAGCCCGGACCCGCCACAAGGCCACCCACGACGAGGGACCGTACCCTAGTCGTGATGGGCTTGTTGAGTCGATGACCGATATGCCGACAGAGTATCATTTATGGATGGGCCCTGGATGGCCCTTACGCTTGCACCGTGATGTTGTGATTTGCGTGTTCGTTCGTTCGAAAAAAAAAACACAACTTGGCACAGCCCTTTTTTGTTTCTTTTTGTTTTTTATCTTGACGATGGAATATTCCGCCATCATCACTCCACTCAGCAACTCACTCCGAGAAGATCGAGAAACAAAACGTGAAAAAAGTTTGGACGAAAGTCAAGAATAGAAAAAGCGGGACGGTGGCAAAACCCAGGGGGATTACACGCTCCCAGCAACGCCTCCCCTTTGTATACGAACCGCAATTTCACACAAAAAAAAATGAAAAAAGAGAGAACGGATAGTGACAGAAAAGAACTATGAAGACTTCACGGCCAGGGCCATCCTCTACATACAGTATGCGAAAAGCATCGCAGGGGGCGGAACGATGTGGCTTGGCTCCCTGACAGAGCCAGGCCAGAAAAGGGGGTGGCGAATCAGCAGAGGAAAACGATAATGATACCAGCCACCTACGGCAAATAACGGAATAGGGATTGCGACCATCTCAAAATCCCTGGCAAATATTACCCTCTCTGCCCGCCCAGCCAACCTCTCACGGCGGGTAAACAAAAAAAACAATATGCACTACGCTATTTCTGTGCCCGTGAAGGGGTGCAGCTATTCAGGAAATCAGGAGGGGGTGTAGCATACTCTTTGATTCAGACACAATTTGCTCCGATACGAGAGGCAAGCTCGTGCAACGCCCACCCTGCACCCCATGGTGGTCAATATGATTTCTTGTCCCGAGAGGCACGACCGGATAGAGATGGGCGGCCATAGTCGCGTCACGATGGCTAGCTAGTGCCTCTGACGTGGCACATCCACAAGCATTATCAACATCACACTCATCAACGGAACTTCCTAAAATAATACAACCTCGAGACCCGTGGGGCCCTCTGTATCTTACGTGAAGCCCGGATCGGAAGAGCGCGATAACTCGCTTTTGCCCTCGGAATGGTTGCCCACAATCGACCAGGGGGAAGGCAGGCCATGAGTGGTAATAGCACGCGAGCAAGGCAGGCGGACATGCATGGTCATAGGCGGTGCAGGTGCAGGTGCAGCCTTGCGTGGCCCAAACAGGGAAAAACACAAAGGCTGGGCTGCGAGGCGGACAACCGCTGATCCATCCTGCCAGCACAAGGACGGCGGACTCCTTTGAGCTCAGAGGACAACAAACGGAGCATATGGCGGCATGACAGATCACAATCGTGAATTTAACAGAAGCCACCCCCAAGCATGCCTGGCACCTCTTCGGCTGACCGCATGAGGCTGAGAGGGATGGGAGGGGCGGCACGCGTTAGTAATCTGGACCTGCCCCGTCCAAGGCATGCGGTCTCGGGGCACAGAAATGCCTCATGTGACCTAGCACACCGCGCGGTCACGCCGCAGGTGAAAGCGTGCGACGAACAAGGCCTGCCTCGAGGATGGGAGGCCAGAGGACCCGGCACCAAGACGCGCAACAGAGGGAGGAGTA